CTTTCCATTTGTTAATGAGGTATATCACAATGATTAATTTTCATATAGAATCATCTTTGCATTCCCCAAGGATAAAAGCTACTTGGTCATGGTATATAATATTCTTAAGGTGCTGCTAAATTCAGTTAACTTACTGTTTTGGTTTTTTAAAATTTATCATTTAAGTATATTTAATATTCAATTTTATATTGGTTATATTAGTTTCAGTTGTACAATATAGTGATTTGACATTTTTATACATTGCAATGTGATCACCTCATTAATTCTAGTAATCAACTGTCACTGTGTAAACTTATCACAATATCATTTACTGCATTTTCCTTCTCCTTTTCACACATTCCCCCATTGCTTCTTTTCTGGTAACCATCCCTTTGGTCTCAGTTTCTATGAGTGGTTAACTACTGTTTTGTTGAGGATTTGTGTACATACTCACCAGGGATGTTGGTCTGTAGTTTTTTCTTTTAGTGTCTCTATGGTTTTGATTTCAGGGTAATGATGCTCTCATAAAATGATTTTGGAAGTGGTCCCTACTCTTCAGCTTTTTGAAGGAGTTTGAGAAGAACTGGCATTGACTTTTCCTTATATGTTTACCAATGATAGAATTCATTGGTAAAGCCTTCTGGTACTGAGCTTTAATTTTTTGGGAGGATTTTGATTACAGAATCAATCTCTTTACTCATTGCTAATTTGTTCAGAATTTGCATTTTTTCATTCTTCATCTTGGTAAGTTGTACATTTCTAGCAATTTATCTGTTTATTGTAGGTTATCAAATCTGTTGCCTATAATTGTTCCTTAATAGTCTTTTATGATTTTATTTATTTCTCTGGTGTTAAGTTTAATGTCTCCTTTTTCAATTATGATTTTAGTTATTTGATTCTTCACTCTTTTCCGTTAGTTTAACCAAAGGTTTGCCAGCTTTTCTCTACAAACACCCTGACTTTTAGTTGTGTACAGTTGTATAGGCTTTATTTTGTTTATTTTGGCTCTAATCTTAATTATTTCTTTCCTTCCACTAACTTTGGACTTAATTTGTTCTTTTTCTATTTTCTTCAGGTGTAAAGTTAGACTGTTCATGTGAAATCTTTTTTATTTTCTAATGTAGGTGCTCACTGCTATAAGTTCTCTCTGAGTACTGCTTTTGCCATGTCCTATGTTTTGGTATGTTGTTTTCATTTTCATTTGTTTAAATATATTCTCTAACTTCCTTTTCTATTTTTTCTTTGAGACAACTGTTTTTTATAAAAGCATGTCTTTTTAAAATTTACATAGTTGTGAATTTTTCATTTAAGTGTGCATGACACATCTGATACTATTTTAGTGGACACCCAATGAAGCCTTTTAAGAATCTATTTACTTTTAACCTGACAACATTTCTTTTAAAATTGGTTTATCTTTTAGTAAGAATTTGTTTGTATTGTGACTATGCTGATATATATAATATGACATTGACCCCCTCGAAGGAAAGAAAACCTAATGTGACCATAACTCTGACAAATCAAAGTGAAAGTCACTTTGCATAATATGATTACACTTTTTTTTTTGTCAGAATATCCAAGAACTGTAATTCACATTCAGTGTCACAGACTTGAATTTAGGTTGTTAGGGGGAAAATGATAAAATTAATTCATAAAACTTCAAGGCACATTATTAAGATCATTGTCACTTTAAGTAGTAAAATGTAAATATTTTACTAATTAAATATTTTCATGCAGTTATTTGAAGCCTCAATTTTCAAAAGACATAATGGAACAACATTAAAACTCATAGTTCTGGTTATTGCATTTAATTGACATTTTATGCAAATCTTTGTCTACACATACTTGTCATTAAAAATTAGTAAGAAATAAAAAAATTAGGAAGAAATGGCATAATAATGTAAAAATTCAGTATTAATGAAATAGACTATAACTTTTAAAACATGTTTTTACCAAAATGCTCCCTTTCCCACAACCATTGTCTCTGACCATGAACTGTCTGATGCTAGACTGACTGTCTGATGTGCAATGACAGGAGGATAATAGAAGACAGAGAAAAATCGTAGGTTGATATTTTTAATAATCAAAGACTCAAATGAACACTAAGTATTTTTAATGGACATTAATTGTTTTTCATTTATATATGTATTCCATATGCATTTCTTCTGGGGGAAATTTTTAACCAAACTTCCTTAATGTGGATATTTATAATATTCCTGTCTGTTCCTCTTTTTTAAAAAAAAGATTTCATTTATTTATTTTTAGAGAGAGGGGAAAGGAGGAAGAGAGAAAAGAAACACCAATGTGTGGTTGCCTCTTGTATACCTTTTACTGGGGATCTGCCTGCAACCCAGGCATGTGCCCTGACTGGGAATTGAACCAGTGACCCTTTGGTTCTCAGGTCAGCACTCAATCTACAGAGCCACACCAGCCAGGACTCATTTTTAATATTTAGATCAACAAAGGAATTATAACACCATTGTATGATTAAATTACTTAATAACATCAAATTATTTCAATTTAGATTTCTATATAAACATCCATTTCAATCAACAATTAGATTAATTGTTGAAATAAATTTAGAGTTTTTTCAAAATAAGTTAATGTTTAGTCTTCACCATTAATTAATTCTTTGAAAAATATAGTAACACTTCTCTGCCTATTGGATACAACATAACATGAGATAATGTTTTTGTAAGGCAGAATATCCTAATTTGCATATTATGCCAGGGTAATATAAAATTGCCTACAGCACCAAAATAACTGCTATCATCGGTGATTGTAAAGGTAAAGTTTTAGATATGAAAATGCATGTCTAAAGTAAAATGTAAGTATTTTAATACGTTTGGGGTCCATGCTGCTTTTTAAAAATTCAAGTGCATATGTGGACTGAGAAAAAGTACTTCCCAGATAAGGTAAATTTAAAGGAGTTCATCATCACCAAGGTCTTATTACGTGAAATGTTAGAGGGACTTATCTAAGTAAAAGAAGAAGATCAAAACTATGAACAGTAAAATGACAACAAACTCACAATGACCAATAACTGAACCTAAAAAACAAAAACAAAACAACTAAATAACTAGAACAGGAATAGGATCACAGAAATGGAAATCACATGGAGGGTCATCAGAGGTGAGGGGAAGGGAGGAGAAATGGGGTAAAAAGTACAGGGAATAAACAACATAAATGGTAGGTACAGAATAGACAGGGGGAGGTTAAGAATAGTATAGGAAATGGAGAAGCTAAAGAACTTATATGTACGACCCATGGGCATGAACTAAGGTGGGAGGTACTAGTTGGAGGCCAGTGCAGGGCTGAGGGGAATAAAGTGGAGAAAAAAATGGGACAACTGTAATAGCATAATCAATAAAATATACTTAAAAAATCATGTTGTGCTCTTGTGTTTCATTAAATAACAGTTTTGTTTAATTTAAAATTAACTGCAAAGTTAGGAAAATATTACCTAAGGGAGTGGTTTTTATATCACATAAGCTAGTGGGGATTCCCCATGCACCTTTATTTTTCTGACTTCTCTTTCCACAGTTCTTCCATATATCTCACAACTCCAACACGTGTTTATGCAAGTTCACCAAAAGTTGTTGTTGTTGTTTTCAATAAATGAAACAATACCAGTAAGTTGGAATTTTTACTACTAAGTACCTATACATTGGTGTTGGGAAAAGATGTCAAGATGTTACTACTGGTTTGACCCTTGAACTCCATGAGGGCAACTGGAAGACCTCCATTTTCTCTCCTGCACCTGGAATGTATGCTCTGCTTGCCCTCCCGCAGTGAGAAGTTGCCCAAAGCCAGGGCTTTGAGGTAATAATGTGCTGATGGGACTATCTGGACTGAGAACATGGTTAAAGCCTCTGAAGCCTGTTTGTACCTGACTGAACCTAGGTAATGCCTCTATGTAAACGTAATATTCCGGCATACTGGTGGGGAAATCTACTCATTTTGTGGCCAGCCAAGACCAGCCTTTTAAATAATTTCCCTTGCTTATTAAGCCTGCCGCCTACTAATCTGGAGAGGCCAGCCTTTCCTCGGTCTCCCCCTGCCCTCCAGCCACAGAAGGACAGTTTCATATTTCACCCAGGAAGCTCCTGGCCAGGTTTGTGAAGCAGCAATTGAGATCAATATTTCATGCAGATCTTCAAGGTAAATGGAGAAATAGACTGTATTTCTAACATTCATATGGTAGGTATATTTATGGTTTCAGCAGTTCACAAATATGTTCATTTTGACAATGAGAAATATTAGACAATTCTGAGGATGATACTATATGCCCCTAGAATATACTGAGATTAATTAGAAACTACACATATTACATTGACCATAGCATATTTACGTATGCTTTGGGGGACATAACTTGATGAACAGCACATCAGAATCCACATTACTCCGAGACTAGTATAATGGGGAGGCAGGAGATGCCATAAGATGCAAGAGCAAGAGCCCAGTGCTTGATTTAGATCAGAATTCTAATGTTGCTTCTGCTGGAAATTACAATGACTTTGAAAAGTTTCTTTGTTATTCATTTTATTTATGTGTAAGATTAGGATCATGGACAATAGTTTATCTCTAAATTTCTCCTAGCCATAAAATTTGTTTAGGATTTTACTGTATTTAAACTTAAAGTATGACAAAGTATCACAGAAATTTTAAGTATTACTTTTGATCGTAAATCTTTGGCTTCCATGGTTATTCCTAATGAGAGTCACATTGGGATTACAAAATGTGGATTTCCCACCACAGACTGATAAAATCAGAATAACATATGGATTTTTAAAGCTTTTTCAATATTTCTGACATAGTTATTCTTTCCTTTATTGTTTCAGAGTATAGTTTAGAATTTTATCATTGGAAATATGTCCTTTTTTCTTTGCTCAAAAACATCCGAGGGCTTATGAAAGTTATAGTTGGAGAGCATTAAAAAGAAACGATATATTACTTGGTTGTAAGTAACTGAATATTCAATAGGCTGGTTAAATATGTTTTCACATTTCATTGTACGACATTACCTTTTTCCTTTAGGGAAGCTGGCAACTTCACTTCTTTCTCTTTAATAGGCTCTGGAAAGAAGCATTGAGCATTTATTTTCAGCTGAGATAAAAAAAAAAAATGAGAGCACATACAATGGAATCAATGATCTACCAGTAAAGTGAACGTGTGGAAATAATACGATGTTTTCTTTCAAAGTAATATTAACTCTACAGAAACAGAGACATAAAGGTAAAACCATATATGGAAGAATAAGCTATTCTTTGATTATTTTTATTTAAAATAAATGTAAACTGTTAAAAGAGTTACAATCTATTTGTTTATCCAAGAGGATAGGCATTTGGATGGATAAGAACTTATTTTATCTGTAATTTTAACAAACACATGGCCTGAGGGGAGGCAGGGTGAGAGAAGGGGAGAGGTGGGCAAAAGGGAGAAAATGGGGACCTCTGTAGCAGTGTAAACAATAAAAATAAAGTTAGAACAACCCACATGGCTTCAGCATTCACAGTTTCCTTCAACTGTTATAATCAGCACTAACTTATTTTATTTTTATCAGGCTTTTTTTTCCCCAAAAATAAACACTCATATGGAAACCTGTGCTTATATCATATAAATGTGGTATTTTTGTCATCGGAATCCAGTCAAATGAATTTCAAGAATAAGACTAAAATAAAATTGAGAGACAATTTCTTCAATGGACTCCAAACATTTTAAAAATGTAGTTCTTGATTAAAGTAAATCAAGTAAAACTTTATTTATCCTACTAGGCTTAAATACAAAGTTATTCTGATCATATCATGGATTCCAGACATGTATGTAGGCAATATCTTGAACATTATATGTACTCAACAAACTATATAAAAACAAAAACCCAGCTTCTGCTTCCTCTGTATCATTAAATCTCATTATTCATTTTGCTGACAAAAGTGACTTCTAACACAGTGGGAAAAGAAGAAAGAAATAAATTTATAGTTTCAGCTCCTTTTTTTCCATTTCCACCTTATGGTTTTGGGTGGGAATTCAGAGAATATGATGATAGCACTTGTATGCATGTAACACTCAAACAATCACTTAGAAATAATTTGAGTCCAGGTGACTTTGGATGGTGTCAAGAATGAATCTAGAGGTTCTATTGAAAAGGCTGTCCTTTGAAGCAACATTTTCTAGGTAGATAAGCTATCACCTTAAATATACGTATGTTTGTAGATTTTTAAAAAATGGCTTTGGCAGAAAAAAGGAGTTTATGTTTATCTTTATTGTGCAAAGTATAAATAAGGCTGGTTTCTTTTTCTATATTTTAACATGAAAAGATTAACTCAAGAGCTACGGGTTAAAGAAATACACTTTGAAAAGCTTCATTAACTTTTTTTTCAAGCCAAATGGGGGTCATTTACTGCTTTTGCTTTTCCCAGCTAAATGAAAAGAATTAATGTCTTGTGGAATGAGAAGAGGTGGTGGGGACAGATTCCAAGTGTGGTGGGAGAGCACAATCCCTGAATTTCAGAGCTCAGAATGAAATATGTTTATTTAACTGGGTGTGTGTACATTCTGGTGTGAGATGAATGTAGTTATAAAATACAAGGCCTAGGGAGAGGAACCCAAGAGATGGGTTTGGTTTTATGGAGAAAGAAGGAAGAGATAAAATAACAGCTATACTTTTACAGGGCATTTGAAGGTCATAATCCCATCACCTTAAATTTGAGAAAAGTTCTCAGAAAATACAAGTGCTTTTCATTTCCAGGTTTGCTAATGGGAAGATGGGTGCTGTTCCCAGGCTGGGTCATCTCCTGCATTGACTCTCTTGTAGCTCATTTTTTCTCAGTTTCCTTTTTGACCTGAAGGGGTTTTGACGACATAGGATACCCACAGGTTGATCTGAGCAGTCTCTAATTACCCAAGTAAGTGAGTGAGATATCGAATCTGACAAAAACTGTGGAGAGAAAGTCATGTGGAAGTTCTGAACTTCTGTATCGGAAAGTCCTGATACTTATATTATTGGTTTGGGTCTGTTTAAATTAGTTTTCCAAATTATCTCCCCCTTTTTTTTTTAGGAGAGAGGCTTTGAAGAGCACATTTTTGCATGTATCGTTTTTACAAATAGTTTCTTTGCATTCGTCTATGAGCCTCCAGGAAGGATTATGAATCTTGATTATTATTAGAATCTAGAACATATTTAAATGTGCTGTGATATAAATTGGAACTCTCAAATAATCTGGGCAAGGAGGTTGGGATGGAGAAAAAGTTCACAAAGAAATAAGATCATTTCAGATTTTCCTTTCCCCTGCGCTGCCCCAGAGACACAGGCAGTAATGAACCAGATCACTGGGGATCAGTTTCAAAGTTCTCAGACAATTTAGCCCATCCTTAGCTCTTGCTTTTGTTTGATTAGTAGGAATGGTCAAAACAAAGCATTAAGAAGACAAAAGAAGTTGGAGGATCATTAGCCATGGTCCTGAACAACAGAATACTAAAGAAAGTAAGCATTGATGAACATCTACTTTTAGAGCCAAACACACAAGGATAGGCCTATGTCATAAACTAAACAATAATTCCAGTGTCTATCGTGCTAATCCAATGCCAGAGGAACCTAAGTGTGCTGTTACTATTGCATTCTTAGTAGAGGAGGAATTAATTAATTTCTCTGTTGCCTCGTTTGGGTTTGGTTTGCAGTTCCTTGGTCCATGGATGGATATTGGTTCCTCACATAAGTCAGGCCAGCTGTTAGAAACAAGTAGTGATAGAGCATAGGGGTGGGTGCCGGAAGGAACAGAGCCAATAATGGGGGGTGACTAGCAGGATTGTCTGGTTTCTGGGTGGTCATGGCCACATAGCCAAAGCTCTGCCTTTGCGTGTGTGTTGAGAGAACTTAACACTAGTCCCCTCGCCCTGAAAAATCAGCAGCTGAACCAGTGACAAAAGCCAGGAAGGCTTTTTTCCTTTTAAACAATCATCCCTAGACCTTCTCTACATCACTTGAAATAAAAACACAAACCTAATGATATTTTTTTAATGCCTAATTTACTCATAGTTATCATGTCTCAAGTAAATGTAGTCCCAAATGATTCACGTGTAATAATCCTGGTTTTAGAATTGGAGCAGTGCTTCAATATACGTTCTAATGTGTACACAAGTGGAATCTGTGAGACTGGAAATGTGTGGAAACCACTTAACTTGCATAATATAAATTACTTGCAATACACAAGGACTCCAGTGCATTCAGTGGCCTTTTAGAGAGTGGAATTGCTACATTCAGATTCTGCAGCAGCAGGCTTCAAAGAAATGCTTCAGAAACAATAACACTATGGAGGTTTTTAAAGTCCCTGAAATACTATAGGAAATCCTGCTCATTTTAAAACTTTTTTGTAATGATAAATGATAATTATAAAATAAAGGAAATGTGGCAGTTACAATTATTCTGAAATAGTGTCTAATTTATATACAATAAAGATATTCTAGGATATTAATGCAGCTTGAATAAAACAGAGGTGCATTTTAAATAGCTCTAATTCAATAATCATATGCAGTAAACCTTTATATATATGATTTTCTAGTGACAGTGGGTACACCTTGCAAACAGTAGAGGATTAAACATTAATTAAAAAAAGTGTTCACTAGGAAATTACTTATAATTGTGTATTCATAACTGTTATAGCAACAATAATAGAAATTACAGGAGTGTATGTAGTGAAGGGGTCAGCATGGATTTAATGTTTTTCAGGGCAGAGTTTTACAACTACCATTTCTAGCTCATTTAAGCTAGAGCACAAGTGGAGTCTTTAAGTAGCAGTTTAGGTTTTTGATAATCATCATTGCCTGAAAGGTAGTTTTGGATTTAGGCCCCAACCTTTTTTTTTTTTGAGATACTTTTATATTGAACAATAATATGTGGTCCAAATATTCCTATGACATAAGTACAGATGAAATAAGTGTACTTTATATTACATTTTGAAGGAGGGAAAGTTGTTTATATTTTGCTAAATGTGATTTGCAAATCATAAATGTATATATACATATATGGATTTTACTGGTAGTATGTTTCAATGACACTTTTAGTTCTCACACAATCAAGGAAAATGTTTTTGTTAATTGTGAGATAAAACAAGAGTGAAGGATGAGAAGGAGTCTCTTTCAATGTAGAGGTAACCACTGCAGAAAAATAAACTAAACTTCTCTGTGGTAAATAAGAAGAGTCACTCTAATAACTAAGGATTATTTTTTATACTACATAGCCAATATGTCTATATTAAATAGATTTTTAACTTATGTAATGAGCTCTATACTCAAAGCAAAGGTTCTTCAAAGAATGCAAATACAAGAACGTTATTTTAAGGGGCGAGCAGTATCTCTGTGAAAATTAAAAGATGAACTACAAAATCTGACAGACTTGACTTTAATTCTTGCCTTTGCCCCAACCTCACAGTGTCACACTGAGTAACTTACTTGATCTGTACCCTCACTTCTACATTTATAAAAATTGAGATATGCAGCACTACTTGCTGAAGCAAAATGTGTGATGTAGATTTCACTGTGCCTGGCAAAGAACAGATGCCTTGCATCTGCACTTCTCCCAAACAATTCCCATGCTTTTGTTTGGCTAAATTCTCATCCTTCTCACTTGAATTTAATATAAATTCCTCCTTTGGGATTTTTCTTGTATTCCCAGTGTCTAGAGAGTACGTGTTCTGATTACTGTACTAGATTTGTATTATCTGACTGTACTGTATTATCTGATATTAGATTTATAAAAATAATTAGTGAATGTGGTACTGATACGTGCTCATAAAAATTAAGGTGGATAACACAAGGTCTTGATGTTTAAGTAAGTGACATTTCAAGTATTTAATTATCTAGATAGCTAAATAAATAAATACAGTTACACATATCACACGTGTGTGAATTCAGAAGAAAGGGTTTCAGTGAACACAGGGTCTTGATGTTTAAGTAAGTGACATTTCAAGTATTTAATTATCTAGATAGCTAAATAAATAAACAGTTACACATATCACAAGTGTGTGAATTCAGAAGAAAGGGTTTCAGTGAACATTGAGAAAACTTGATGCTTTATATGGACATTATTCTTAAAAAGAGGTCTGAGATGTGGACGGACAGAAGGAAGAATCAGTCCATTCAGAAAGAAAAAGCCCAATATTTAAATAGAATTTCATGCCTTTTTATGGCAATAGAGAGCTGACAAGACTAAAGCCAATAGAACATGACTAAGAAAGTCTTCGAAAATAACAGAATTTACAACTCTGATTCCCCAGTTTTTGTCCCTGTTCCTAGCTTTGTCATCTTTGTTTCTTCAGTGGTCAGTGTTTGGAAGGAGTGTGCAATAAACATGTATTTTATGATGGGTAGAAAGGACAGAAGCAGAGCACATGAAAGGAGGTCCTTTCTGTATTCTTTGCTTCCCTCCTAACATTTTTTTACCCTTTCATTCTTTAAGGAAAATCTTTTTTTTTTTTACTTTTTTATTTTTGAAATTATAAACAAAGCACTTTTTAGGTCATGGTGAACTGTAAGAAAGTGTTCGTGGGACAGGTAAGTAAATACAAATTTTCAAACATATGAGGGTAACCAATGGAATTTTAGCCCACACATCTGCAAAGATGATGCCTAATGACTATGGGCCCATTGAAATATTTTTGCTAATAATTTTTGCCTTGACTATATTACCTTTATCCTTCAGAACTGAAGAAGTCTTCCCAGATTTTTCTTTTCTAATTTCTGCAAGAAGAATTATGAAAAGAGAAGGTTACAATGAATAATAGAGATAATAATGGCAAGTTTCTTGTTGTGTTTTGTTTATTGTGGCCTAAAACATCACAGGGACTCAGAGTTGATATTCAAAATACGGGTATATACTGGGATAGGTTGCCCATAAAACATTGAACTAAATATGCAGAAGATCTAAAATAATTCCATGAATCATTATTACAAGGGGAAAATTATGATAAACACAAAATAGGTACAAATATTTGGTTGGTCAAAGAGTCTGTTTAGGTTTTTTTTCCATAACATAAAAGAGACTTTTTTTCCAATAACTTTATTGATTTGGATATTTTGAGTATTTGGCTATCTCCCACGTTGTATAACATTGTTCTCAATTAATTTTTCAATTTGATTGCTATCAACTTCAACTGGTTTACCTGACCCTGGAGCATTATCCAGGAAGAAATCACCAGCACAAAACTTTGCAAACAACTTTTAAGAAATTATTGTTATTCTATTACAATACAAATTACAAAGGGGGAAAGTTGTCCCAATTTTCCCCCTTTGCCCTCCCCCCCACCCCTCACTCCCACAACCAATCCCCGCCCTGTTGTCCACGTCCGTGTTTGTCCTTTGATTAGTCCCTTCCCCTTTTTTCAACCATTATCCCTCTCCCGCTTCCCCTCTGGTCGCTGTCAGTCTGTTCCATGTTTCCAAGCCTCTGGTTCTATTTTGCTCATTAATTTTGTTCATTAGATTCCACTTATAGGTAAGATCATATGGTATTTGTCTTTCATCGACTGGTTTATTTGTAAACGACTTTTGACAGGTTCAATTAGCGGCAGCACCTTCTCTGTACATTACACAAATCGTTTTTTTTGCACTTCAGTTGCATTTTTACCTTTCTTGAAATAATAAAGCATAATATGCCAAGAATGTTGCATAATTTCTTCCATATTTAATATTAAAATGGCTACACAAAAATTCACCAACTTTGGTAAGTTTTTTTATATGCATGTTAACATGACACCTGTCAAAATACAATCTAACAAAATTGTTTCAAACAAAGTTAAAGACAAGGAAGTGCTATTAGAAGTGTCTTACAGAAAAAAACAAATGAGCTGTTTGGCCAACCCAATAAAATGCTATGGGCTTTGGGGGAAAACGGGGGAATGTCTGGGGAATGCCTAACATTGTCTATTTACCATGTGTCACAGGAAATGTCTTCTCCTGTTTTGTTATTCAACACAATGACACTGTAAAGTAGGTAGATCCTGATTTTCCTGATTTTCGCATAAATGAAGTAACTTTCCCAAGATCATGTAGCTCTTAAATGAGAGACCTGGGATTTAAACTGATGTGTCTCTGAACTCAATCACTAAGGTACAGGCTCTGATAGCTGAATGACGGCATCTCGAAAGGCTTTGGTAGGTGGTAATGAGGCTGACCTTGAAAGACTGAAAGGAATTAGACCAACAGAGATGAAGGGGAAAGGAGACACATTTTAGAAGGATGGAAGAGAGAATCAGGAGGCCTGGACTTTGTGTCACCTGTAACCAACACAATGTAGTTGAAGTGATGCTGTGAAGTGAAGTGACTTTCTAGGCTAAAGCAGGAAAAGCCATATATCTTCCACCTGCTGCTCTAGGAATGCTAGCTCTGAGGAAACTGGGTGCCATGTAAGTTCTCTGACCACCACGCAGCAGAGGATACATATGGGGTCTGTCCACAAAAAGTCCAACCATTGTTAGTATAATGAGAACAGTTTACACAACATCGATGTAACCTGGCAGCCAAGGAAAGTGGGCTGGAATGCGCATGTGTGAACAATGATGACTTCACTGCACTAATCAGTGGGGGTGGTAGATGCCCTCAAGTGAGCATGTGTACTGTGTGGCCATCACATTCAAAATGACTGAGCGAGTAGAACAACAGATCTGCATCACATTTTGCATTAAGCTTGAACATTCTTCCACAGAAACTATTGAGATAATTCAAAAGGCTACAGCTATGGACAACTGGTGCTCACTCATTCATCATGTCTTATGCAGTTTTTTAGTGAAACGTCAAACCACCTAGGTGACTCAGACCACCACAAGCCCAGATCTGGCGCCTTGCAACTTCTGGCTTTTCCCAAAACTAAAATCACCTTTGAAAGAGAAGAAATTTCAGACCATCAATGTGATTCAGGAAAATATAGTGGGGCAGTTGATGGCACGGCAATTGGGAGAACTGTGTGCTGTCCCAAGGTGTCTACTTGGAAGGGGCCTGAGGAGTTACTATCTTATGTACAATATTTCTTGTATTTTGTATCTTCTTCAATAAATGTGTCTATTTTTCATGTTACATGGCTGGATACCTTCTGCACAGATCTTGTATAGTCAGTCTAGTCAACAGCCCAAGCTGTCAAGTAACAACCGTCAGACATGCAGGCAAGCCAACCTGGACGTCCCGAAGTTGGTTACTTTAGATTACTAGCATTCGAGTCTGCACCTGACTGCAATCATATGAGATGCTCAAGTGAAAAATGCCTAGTTGCTCTCCTGAATTCCTGACCCCCTAAATCATGAGCATAGTAAAATCAGTTGTTATTTTATATAACTAAGGTTGGGAGTGGTCTGTACTGGAAACTGTCAGTGAAATGGTCAGCTAATAAATAGCAAAATGTTACACCCCATGCCATGTAACTTTACCATTAGAGATATAGAGATAGCAGAGAAATTATTAATTCTACTTTTAAAATTGGAGAAGATGCCAGCTGGGTTTAGAATTTCACTGGTCAGGAAATGCAAGTTTAACAGTATAAAGGAGTGTAGGATCAGTCATCTGATTATTTATATAGCTGGCTATCAGATTAAAAAAAGAACTGCTGTTTATTTGTTTTACTGAGTGATGATCTGCCATCAATTAAGATAGGAAACAGAGAGGACTGTGGAGGAAGATATGATCTTTGTTTTGCATACATGTTGTGTTTCTTTGTTAACAAGACACCCAAAAAGTCAATGTTGTATTCAGTTGGCAATATAGGTGAAGTGCAGATTATATACAAGTGTTGCAGAAAGAAAGCAAACTAGTCTCATTTATAAATGGGAACAATTGCTATAAACAGTAACACAATGTCCCCCAAAATCTCATTTACTTTGTTCACACAGATTGACTTGATTTAATTTAATAAACTAGATGAAAGTAAAATAAACCAGAAAGTTAAAAACTCTGTTTTTAATACATGCATGTAAAAAAATACTGAAGTCATGGATTATAATATTTTACTTCCATGTTTCAAATTCAATTTCATATCATTTCTTTTTATTGATCAGTGTATTACCATATACTGCTTAATTTTTATGAATTTTGATTAGCTATTGCCAGATGTTTAAAAATTAAAAAAAACACACACAGACTGTTATCAAAATAGTTATGCAAGACAAGTTTTAAGTAACTAACTAGATAAAATTATTAATTTTAAGAAAAAATATTAAGTTTCAATAGACCAAAGATTTTTTTTAAGTTAAAGGCCTGAATATATATAACCAAGACAAATAAATAGAAAATAGTATTTGATTTTTCCTCAAATATCATCATATAGCAGATAAAATGTACATATAACAATAGTGTTTCCTTCTACAACCATTGTAAAAAGGTCCATGAAACAGGCAAAAGAGTGAAATAAGGGACAATGTCATAACAGAAAATAGGTGCTAAAGATCTTCTTTGGCACAAACACAAATATTTTGAACTCCAAAGTGTTTTAAGGAAATAGTAGTATTAAATGTTATCTTTGATTTCGCCATTATTTTTTATTGTTGCTCTGAATGATCAATTTTTTAAAAAAGATTTTATTTATTTTTAGAGAGAAGGGGAGGGAGGAAGAGAGAGAGGGAAACATGAATGTGTGGTTGCCTCTCTCGCGTCCCCCTACTGGGGACCCAGCCCTCAATCCAGCCATGTGCCCTGACCGGGAATCCAACCGGTAAGCCTTTGGTTTGCAGACCTGTGCTCAGTCCACTGTGCCACACCAGCCAAGGCTGAATGCCAAATTTAGCATCAGGTTATTATTAGTGACATTAAGATATTAACAAAAATATTCTTATTCGAGCATCTTAGCTTGACCTCAATGTCAAATATATCTAGATTAAAAAACAAAAAACCCCAAAACACCAAACCCTGAAACTGGAAGGTTTAAAAGCCCCTAACAAGATCACCAAGCAGTTCGGGCTTCGGGCTGTGTAAAGGTACCAAGCTCAAAATTCTTAACTTTCCTCACCCAGCTAGCTCTAGTGAATTGCTTGGAAATATGTCAGAAAATTATTTTCTTACCTCTTTTGTAGATATAAGATGCCTACTAATTGGAGGTATTCTTAATGAACATGATGAATAAAATCAAAGTATCAACTTTTTGGATTTTTCTTTTTATGGAAAGCATAATTTTAAAGAACCATATGGAGAGCTTTATTCATAAATTTAATGGTACCTGATAATTTCCCAGTGTAGGATTATCACAGCATCAAAAATATTAAAATTATTACATAACTCCTGCATTTTTTAAAAAAGTGATGCTGTATTTCCTGAAGTGATTTGATTTTTTGGAATTGCATACATTTTTAATAATTAATAAGTGAATGTCCTACCTATATCTGTCATTGTTCATGTTCATTTGGATATAATTTTGACAGTCAGCGACATTTTAGATGAAGTATTTTACAACATTCTTATATATTTTCCAAACACCAAAATATAAATTTTATAAAAACATACAGAAGAAAAGCACTCTCAAATTGCCTAAATGACTTAAAATACTGCTTGGAATTCACATGAGAGAAAAAATATATATATATATGGATGTTTTATTAAATATTAAATTTGAATGTTTCTGAAAAGATGGAAGGGTTTAATTTTATTCAGGATCTTGTCCATTAACTTTGTAATTAAGTATAACTCAGTCAGAGCCATCTTTAACTTTCTCTCTGTCCTAATTTAATAGTTCCCTATTCTGCGGGATAAAGAACCTACCACAT